TCGAGTGCACCTTTTTCACCTGTTGCGCAAGTTGAAATGCCTCATCTTCCGTCTCAACGCTTACCAGCATATCGTCGACGTAATGCCGCTTCTGGATGACTTCAACTGCTGCTGGGTATGCTGCTTTGAATCGTTCCGCGTTTATATTCTTGACGAACTGAGCGCTGCTAGGGGAACAACAGGCTCCGAAGGTCATCACCTGCAAGATGTAGACCACGATGTTACCTTCCTCGTCATACCAGAAGAATCGCTGGCAATGCTGGTCTTCCGAGCGCATGAGGACTTGTAAAAACATCTCACGCACATCTCCAGTGAGCGCAATTTTGCCTTCCCGGAACTGGATGAGGATAGCGAGCAGTGCGCAAAGCTGATCAGGACCTTTTAATAGAGCCGAATTTAACGATACTCCATACGCAGAGGCAGCAGCGTCCCATACAATTCGGATTTTTCCCGGTTTATTGATGTTGACAACCGGAAAAGTCGGCAAATACCAGACCCGATGGAATGGTTGCTTCAGCTCCTCATTGGTGAGTCTTCTAGCGTATCCTTTCATGACGAAATCGGCGATTTTCAAATTGAGCGGTTCAGCGAGCTTTGGATCTTTGTCCATCCGTTTCTTGAGACACTGGAGCCGGCGCAGAGCCATAGGGCGACTATCCGGCAGTCGAATATTGTCATATCGCCATAGCAAGCCGGTTTCGTAGCGGTCACCCTTGATAACGGTGCGAGATTCAAGCAGGGTTTGGGCTCGTTCATCTTCTGCGGACATGAGTGCTATCTTCGGTTGCGCAATTCCCAAGCTGTCGATTGTGAAGTATTCTTTGATCGCCTTGTGTAGATCCTCATCCATTTGTGATTCGCATGGGCACATATGGAACACTGAGTGCACTAGGTTTGGAACATCGTCTTGGTTTCCTCCTCCACAAATCGTCCAACCTAGTCGGGTCTTCACAGCGATCGGCTGCTCACGTGTTCCCTCTCGGCTCTTTAGGACCAGGCTTAGGTGTTGATCCTTCATACCGATCAGAATTCTCGGGCGAACATTTTCATACGAGGTGATCGGCAAATCCTTGAGATGAGGATACAGTTTGCCGAGTTCCTCTACATTGAGCGTTTGTGATGGAAGCAGAAGCTCATCTACTGTGCGCACGCCGTTCAAGGTATACCTCTTGGTGGGGCAATGTGTTGCTGCCACGTCCAGACTTACGGCTTTTGAGTTGATTTCTCGTCGTTGCGCTCCACCCGTCCAGTGCAAACACAGTGGTTTTTTCTCCCCATCAAGCTGCAACTCCTTGGCTAAATCTTTATCTAGAAGTGTGAGCGCTGATCCGTCATCCAGAAAGGCGAACGTCTTGATCGAACCGTATTTTCCTTGAAGTACTACCGGCAGGTAGCGGAATAGAACCTGACTGGATGTAACCTGATGAGTATGGCATCCGTGTCCCGACGTACTTGTTCCTGGTTGAGCAGGATCACTGCGCTGTGTTGTAGGTTTGTTCGTGGTATTGGGTGCTGTATCCTTGAACGGTGACATGTTCTTCTGATCGTTGTGTAGCAACTCGTGGTGTTTTAGCTCGCACCCGTTCTTCCCACACAGCTTGGCTTGACATCCTCCATTGTGTCGACGCAAACATCTCCGACAGAGGCCGAGGTCTCGCACTGTAGCCCAGCGTGAGTCACGAGAGAACTCTATGAAGTTCTTGCATTTGGCGATCCACTTGCAGGTTCCCTTGCATACTGGGCAGCTATCGTGAACTACTTTCAATCTGGATGACGATGTGGTGCGGGGATCCGATACAGGTTCTTCTGAGTGTGCGTTGACAAAGGAATTCCCTTTCTTATTTCCACGAACATCGCTTCGAACTGGTTTGGGGTCGAAGCTGGTGTTTGGAACAATCACTGCGCTGGCGGCTTCCGCTAGAGAATAGAGCCAGGTGCTGAACCACGGAAGATTGACCGTTGGAAGCGTTTGCCTATATTGAGCCCAATTCAACTTGATAGAAGGCGGCAGCTTGTTGACGAGTTGATGAAGAAATGTTACGTTGTAAAGATGCTCCTCCAGACCACACGCGTCTACTGTCGCACAGAAGTTTTCTACGTTGACTGCAAAGTCCACGAGCGTTTCCAATTTATCCTCCTTCAGCGCTGGGAGCGAGTTGATCTTGGTAATCATCGAGTTGACAATAACTTCAGGCTGCCCGAACAGCATCTTTAGCGTCGACATAACTCCGTTAACATTGGCAGGATGCATCAGTCGACATCTCACCGCTTCGTACGCTCGACCTTTCAAGCTTCGCTGCAACCTAGCTATATTTTCCTCGTCGGTAAACCCACACATCGCTGTCGTGCTGTCGAAGGTAGAGCGGAAAAGCGGCCATTCCTCAGGATTTCCAGAGAACACCGGCAGATCCTTCGATATAGCTTGTCGAGCTGCTAATTGCTTTCGAGTAAGCATACATGGATCCAATGCATCCTCGTCACGATCGTGAAGACGGCTCGATCGCCTTGGAGGAAAACTTTGATAGTTCTGTGGTGTATCCTGTACCAGAATTGGGGCTGGCACCCGTGAATCCGGATTAGGAACAAATCTTGAATACGAAGGAATCGGATCTGGTTGTGAATATCGTGGAACGGGTTCTGGCCGTAGATTTATTGGCGTCGGGGCTGGAACTGATCGTGACGGTTCTGGATGTCGACGATAACGAGTAGGTTCTGAATGCAAACGCTCTGGGTTCGGCGCCAAACCTGAAGACCTATGATCCGATATTCTTTGTGAAATAGCAGGAATCGGAACTGACGGTGGGCAATTCTGATCCGGAGCAGGCCTTGACGATCCCTCTGGTGAGATCCAACGTGGAGATCTAAGATTCGAAGCCGGCCTTGGACGATCTGGAACCAGAAATGATTTTGCTGGATTCTGAACCGGCCGTTGGTTTTTCGGAGTTGGTTCTGGATGCTTTACGGAAAGCGATTTCAAAGACTCCGTCCATGGGAATGGTTCCGGAGGATCAGGCTCTGAACTTCCAGAAAGCGTACCGTGACTGCTGCTTTGGTTGCTTCCGAGTTGGGAAACCGTAGGATATCTCAATTGCTTCCTGCTTGAATGGCTATCAGGATCAAACTGACTCTCCAAATCCGGATCCTGCTCTAGATCTAAAAGCTCTTCCTGTTGATTGCTGGAAGATGCCACCCAGTCCTTCATCCGATTTAAAGCTACGCTGCTGACTGAGCTAGTTTCACTTATAGCCTCCTCCATCAGCTGATATTTTTGCTCCAAATAGGCCCTCTCCTTTCTCGCTTCTTCCGCTGCAATCGCTCGTTGAAGTTCTGCTTCACGCAGCTCAATTATCCTCAAGTCCTCGAGCTTCTGGAGCTTTAGCTTCGCAAGGGCTTGCGAGGAGCGACTCGATGCTATAGAGGTTGTTTTCGACGGTTTGATCGATGGGTTTATCTTCTTACTCCTCGTATCCCACTGTAGAGTTGTGATGGACGGAACTGGATCGACAGCGACTTCTGCTTGACTCGAGTTGGTAGCATCGACGGGATCGGACGACTGCTTTTTATTACCACCACCTTCATGAGGACGAACTGCTTCAGAAGTTGAACTTGTTGCCTGGACACCTTTCGCTGTTTCGCATTTGGTACATCTCCAGGTATAATTCTCAACCTCCTGCGTGACTCCGACACATCCGAAGTGATGCCATTTCAGGCAATCGTCGCATCTCACCATCTCGTCCGTATCTTCTCCTCGGCACACCTGACATGTATGACCGGGATGGGACTCCTCCGGATCCTCCATGACCACCGTTTGCACACCACCATTTGCACTACTTTTTACCACATCACTTGACTTGCCCGACCGTTTTGATCGCAAAGACCGATTCGACATAACCGCGGTTTATTCGTAAATAAACGATAATAATAATATGTTGGAAAATTGCCAACTTTTCGGGAAATTCCGCAATAATAATCCCGGGAATAAAACGACCGGTACTGGGGTTGATTTACTGTCCGGAAGATTATTATTATCCTAAAAAGAATATGCTTCATTTTAACAGTTATCTAGCAGTTAAACCAAGAACTAAATTATTTGCTTCTGTGTGTTATGCTGTTTTTTGTTTTAAACATATTTTCATGCATAAACTTACGTTTAGTCCCGTACTATGTGTTTCGTTTGCCTGATGGTATGTCTATACCTCTTCTTTGCCGTACTAATTCACCGTACTATAATAAATTTAGTTGTAAATAGTTGTATAAGTTCAGCGGTATTCAATTACCTTAAACAATGTAGTTTTAAGAATATTAGTTTTAGGTTGGAAATATACAATTCATTTATCATATGCTCTCCTGTCCAAAAACATATTAGATTAAGTAAATTTCACTTGATTTTATCATTAAGCCAATTACCTGATAATTTTAGAAATAAGCACTAAGGAATTTAGATATTTAGGATAATGTTTCAGTAGTAAATTAAGTAATTACTTTCTGCAATCTGTGTTCTTTCACTTTCCTTCTAATTTTTTGTCTAGATTATTTGTTTACTCATTCTCCTATCAATCCTGTTATCAGTCCAATTCCTCTCCCACTCTCCCATGTTTGTGCTGAATCATCTCTTCTGCCAAATCATTCCTCTATTCTACTCACCAATACCTGAGTACCAAACCTGTCATCGCTGCGAATATCTGTCACGCCTATTGCGCATCGCGACGTCATGCGCAATAGTCGAAACTGAGCTGCTGTCTGATCACAGTAGCGGCGCGCTGGCGTTGACACGCCAACAGTAAGAATAATAATAGCATGGCGTATTATTAAGATAGGTTATTTCTTTATTTGCGATAGATATGTCACGCGATGATCAATTCTATCTCGTGCTAGTGAAAAAAAAACTGTTGACATTCATCTGAAATGGATTTTCTCAATTTCACAAAAACGCAGTTTTTATTACGATTATAATAAATGTATTCTATCCTGATAAGGACGTACCCTGAAAACTCATCTAAAAAAAGTAGAGAAATATCTTGCTAGCACAGAATACACAATAGTAAATACATGACTCTTCTATTGTCACAAATCTACATTGGATTGGTTTCTCAACGCATCGAGCAACAACAGTAAAGCTCTTGGCATACACGGCAAGTTGACTTAGGGACACACACACACGCATACACATACTATTAACTACTTAACTGGTTTTAACCGGTGTAGCTTAGCGAATAAGATCCAGTATTGATGTCCACCTTGGCATTCGGGTGCCAGTATTCTGAACGCTGTTGGGGTGCGGCTGGCTGATAGTACTGCGGCTGTGCCTGTGCTTGTGGCTGTGGCTGGAATCGATGCTGTGGCTGCTGGTAGGTTGGAGCCACTGGAGCTTGAATTGGGGCCGGAGCAACGTTGTTCTGATAGTACTGCTGTGGCGCGGAGTTGTACTGAACCGGAGCTGGACGAGGCTGATACGCAGGAGCTGGACGAGGCTGATACGCGGGAGCTGAAGCTGGCTTGGAATTGTATCGCGAGTCCTTGTAGTAGACGCTTGGGTCTTCACGGTATTGCCCATCATCTTCCTCGTTTAGTCCCAAAGCTGGGTAGTTGTTGTTGTTTAGAGTTGGTGGAGGAACGTTGATGTCAGTACCTGTGAAAAATTGGAAACCGTTAATGTCTGCTGGAAAGGTTTTTCGGAGTCATTCCATCATAACCACTTAGCATTTGGATATGACAAGATTTATTTAATATCACCATGTGATTTGAGGTGGAATATCACTCCCTTTTTTTCTACATACCGGTTGGTTCAAATCCACGCTTGCTGGCACCGTATTCAATCTCACGCTGCTTTCCACTATCATCGACGTAGCCGTATTTGCCCTGTACCTCACCGTTAGGGTATTTGGTTTCAATTTTGAAAGAACCATCCGCCGCTTCGTAGCCATAGCTATAGCTTCCGTCCTCGTTGTGTCGGTTGATTTGCTTCAGGATGGGCACCGGCGTGGTGTAATCATTCTGCGCTGCGATTACTGTCACAAGCGCGGACAGTATGAGCTGTTGAGTGGAAAAGGGATTGAGAGTAAGAAAAACAACCGATTAGTCAAGTTTTCAATTAAGACGACAACTATTCCACTTGGGTGCTGTGATATTCCTCGAGAGTTTGTGAACAAAGAGAAATATTTGCTTTTAATTTATTTCACCAAAGTATCCAGACGAGATGAAAGTGGAATTGAAGCTCTAACAGAGTGACTTCCAGGAATGCATTAAATGTTTCATTTTCCAGAAAACCCAATTCGTCCATCCTAAAGCTGTTGCTTTTATTATGATTCTCACGTTCCCAGCCGGAGAAAAGAAAAACTCATTTGCTGTCGGTTCAAATCATCGTACACAGGTGTATTGGATTACTAGCGTTTGGCACCAAAAACACACGATGCTTTCCGGCAGCGAAACACAAAGCCTTGGGCCAAATCTCGCGTCCGTGTTCATCCAAAATTTGCATTTTAATTTAAGAAATTAGCATGTTTTAAATTTTCACGAGTGAACACGCCACCGGTTTCGACACGTGTGCTATTTTATAAATATAAGTGGTTGTAATATGGCTGCACTCACGATTTTGCTTTCGAGATAAATACACAGCTACTGCGTTGAAACACGGCCGGGTATTAAAAACGGCATTAAAAAAAGGTTTTCGGGAAATCAAGTGTAGCTGGTACTATTCATATGCAGATTTGTGCTGGGTTACATGAGCTATATTCATGATCAAAAAGTACGTTAAATGGTTAAAATTCTTTGTAGATCTTGCAAGAAGCATTGGAGACAGATGTACGATTCACAATGGATGTATGCTTTGCTGTGCTGTGTGGTTAAATGTATGATTTGTACCGAACAAAAATTCGGTAAAACTTACCGAAGTTGGCAATCATTTTTAAGTGTGTAAGTTGCATACAAAGGGTTGAAATAAAATGTTGATGTGTATCTTAAATTGTGGATACCTGAACAACATTGAAGGGGGGAAGTTTTTGTTAGTTGTACAGGGCTAAATATGTTTGTCTTATCCTACACTTTAACTTTCTTTCCACGTGCAGCACAAAGAGGTCTAAGTCTAAGTCTTTTTTAACCCGGTTTTTATAAACGGTTTGCGCTGCTAAGTCACAATTTACACGGTCGATTTTTAAAGATTTTTCGATAACAATACAACCTATCGACTTGAATCGAATCATATTTTCCGTTTCAAGCCATAAGGTAATCGAATTAAAAATCACAACTGCGTGGTGGAAATACAGAAATTAAAAAAAAACTCTATAGGACCTAAACCTCTATGATTTAATTACGAAAGGCATCAAAATACAATTTTTTTTTTTTCAAATATATTTTAGCATGTGAAAAATAAAAACCTTGGTAGGTTTTTTAAGGTCCATATCCCCCATGTAAAAAAAACCTGAGTGGAAATACTTTTGTCCACAGAGTTAAAACACAAAATTATATAAACTTGTCAAATTTTTTGGATAGCGATTAAAGTCAAACTAATAAATCTTAATTTTTACTAAATGGGTTTTAGCCAAACTTGAAGCAAAGAAGTCTAGCATGGGCCTAACAGCGATGATCGATTCTCTTCATCGATTTTATTATAATTAGGACATGCTCAGCATTGAAAGAAATCAATAACATTTTTAATACTCTCAAATATACTCAGGATCTTTGATCTTAACGTTCACAAGGCTCAATGAAGTCTTATTTAATATTGAATACCACAACTGTAAAAATGTAGCTTTAAAATTTCTAAAGAATGAGCTTTGCAATTGTACGAATTACCCATAAACATTTTGCAAATGATCCATAAAACATTCAGCAAAGAACCTTAAACTAAAGAAAGTGATCGATAGAAAATCAAGCACACTTAAAAATATAAACGTAGTCCTGTATTGTCGCGGAGCGTTATGGTTCTGAGGTGCTCGATGTCCCTGGAGGGATCGTTTTTGCTTACTGAGCAGAAAATCATGGGTTTAATCCCAAACTCTCCATCATGACTCTTAAAATTCATGATCACTAAATAAAATGAATAGGGGAAATGGCTCTAAAGTTGGCCTACGGATCTAATATTGGGCCCATCGCTAAAAATCTGCTATTTATCAATTTTATCTTGATGAATGCGTCATCTTATAGGTACTTATGGATATTTTTGGTCGCTATTGAAAATTTAATCGTTTGCTGAATTTATGTACGGGCCCAAATTAAGGGCATTTAGGCCGACATTACAAACATTTCCCGTATGTTCTTTCAATAGCCGGTTATCGAGAGATTAAATAAACAACAAATAAACAAAACATACTTTTGGTTGCATCGCCAATTTGAGGTTAATACTAACCGAATACCCCACTCAACCCTCCAACTCCGTAACACTTATGAGGGTGTCGCTTAGTCGGTGGCCTCTCGTTAAGTAAGTACTACATCAACATTTCCTTCCCTATCCCTAGTTATGGTTAAGATGGGCGTGGCCGGGAATAGCGACAGTCATGCTTCTTTTTTTTTTATAATTACTTTATTTGTACAGGCTCAATCGAATAAACTTTACAGAGCCGAGTTATCCTTTGCGTTATACATTATTGCTGTCTTAAATTTAAAGTTAAAGGAACTGGACCGAGTACTCGCGGTTGTCTCGAGGTTAGTGGAGATTTACAATTTTTTGGATGGGAAAAGGGAGAGGGAGGTTTGAAATGTGGTTTACGATACAACTATTTAATTAATCCTAAAGCATGAAATTATTTCTATTCATCTTGAAAACAAACATTAATTAAAAAACACCCCACACGTACAAAATACAAACTAAACACAAGGTTAATCAAACTTACAATCTAAGGTTAATATCCTTAAAGTAAACATATATGAGTTTCATAAACTCCAGATCGCGTCTAGCCAAAATATCCCGAACTGGAACATTAGGTTGTCTACCTCGAGCCCGAAGGGAATCATAAAAATGTGATCTGACTCCACGATACTCCGCACAAGACCAAAGGATGTGATCAGCGTCCTGGTAACCTTGTCCACATTCACAGAGATTGCTGTCTCCCAACCCCACACGGAACAAGTGAGCGTTTAGACAATAGTGATTGGACATGAGACGAGACATCACGCGTATGAAGTCTCGACTCAAGTCCAACCCTTTGAACCATGCAAACTTCGACACCTTAGGGATAATTGAATGTAGCCATCGTCCCAAGCTCCTTTCACTCCATTGATGTTGCCAGCTAACGAGCGACTGCTGACGATAAATAGAGAAAAATTCACTATAGGCGATCTGTCGATCATAAATATCGCCTTACATAGCGCCCACCTTCGCAAGTGAATCCGCCTTCTCATTGCCCAAAATTGAGCAATGCGAAGGGACCCACGCGAAGGTGATGATGAAAGAGCGCACGGATAAAGCACTAAGCAGTTCTCGTATTTTCAAGAGAAAATACGAGAAGTGCTTTACCGGCCTAATGGAACGGATAGCCTCGACAGAACTGAGACTATCCGTAAAAATAAAGTAGTGGGCTGGAAGAAGTGAAGCAATAGTTTCCAAAGTGTAGTGAATTGCTGCCAGTTCAGCCACATACACAGAACAAGGAGCTTCAAGTTTTCGAGAGGCGCTATGAAATTCATTAAATACACCAAAACCAGCGGACTCCTCTATTAGAGATCCATCTGTGAAAAACGTTCTTGCAGAATCAATATGGCCAAACTTTGCAGCGTATAATGACGGAGCAATCATAGGACGATGATGCTCTGGAATTCCGCGGATTTCCTGTGTCATAGATAAATCAAAATTCACTGAATTGCCGAAATCGGAGAAGATTACACGATTGGGAATATTTCTTGAAGGGCTGACATCCTGTGTTAAATATAGGTAGTATAAAGTCATAAAACATGTTTGAGGATTTAGCTCCAGAAGCTTCTCAAAATTTTCGATCACCAGTGGGTTCATTACTTTGCAACGGGTGAGGAGCCTCAGAGATAACTCTGAAAAACGGACGGATAGTGGCAACATGCCCGCCAGCACTTCGAGACTCATAGTATGAGTCGAGTGCATGCATCCTAACGCGATACGAAGACAACGATACTGGATCCGTTCCAGCTTGATGATGTGCGTTTTAGCTGCCGACTGGAAGCAAAAACTACCGTACTCTAAAACCGATAAAATCGTTGTCCGGTACAACGTCAGAAGATCTTGTGGATGGGCTCCCCACCACGTTCCGGTAATTGATCGAAGGAAATTGATCCTTTGTTGCCATTTTCGTCTCAGATACTCAATGTGGGATCTCCAGGTGCATTTGGAATCGAACCAGACCCCAAGATATTTGAAAGACATGGAATGAGTGATCGGTTTACCCAAAAGTTGAAGCTTCGGTTGTGCTGGGCTATGCTTCCTAGAAAAAACGACCAACTCAGTTTTCTCCGTGGAGAATTCGATACCTAGCTGAATAGCCCAAGTAGACAAATTGTCCAAGGTATCCTGTAAGGGTCCTTGCAGGTCAACCTCTTTTGGCCCTGTGATAGACACTACGCCGTCATCTGCAAGTTGTCTCAACGTGCAATTGTCACTAAGACAGACATCAATTTCTCTAACGTAGAAATTGTACAAAAGGGGGCTTAAACATGAGCCTTGGGGGAGACCCATGTAGCTAAATCGAAAAGCTGTAGAGTTTCCATGAGAAAAGCTCATATGTTTTTCTGACAGCAAATTGTACAAAAAATTATTCATTAATGGAGACAATCCACAAGCGTGGAGTTTCTCTGAAAGAACTTCAACGGATACTGAATCAAAAGCCCCCTTGATATCCAAGAACACAGAAGCCATTTGCTCTTTCTTAGCAAAAGCCAACTGAATTTCCGAGGAAAGCAACGCGAGACAGTCGTTCGTTCCCTTACCCCTACGGAAACCAAATTGAGTATCTGAAAGAAGGTGGTTCGTCTCAACCCATTTGTCGAGGCGAAAAAGGATCATTTTCTCCATCAATTTCCGAATACACGACAGCATCGCGATGGGCCGATACGAATTGTGATCCGACGCGGGT